TAGTCGACAAATGTCCCAACTATATAGTCGGCTATAAGTCAGCCATATCAGTCGACTTAAAGTCGACTTTTATGACAATTTATAAGTCGACTATTTTTTTACTTGTTTATGGCGACTAGGTTGACTTTTTACAGAAACAGTCGGCTAAACGTCGACTTTACAAGTCGACTAAAAAAAGTCGACAATTTAGTCGGCAAATAGTCCCTGTATTTGTGCTATGTGAGATTATTTTATATATAATTTTTGTGATACATCAATTTTGTAAGTTTTGAATTGGGAATCAATAATTTTTGTGGGAATTGTCATCTTATTTCTTCAAAATTTCTTTTGTAACTTCACAATTTTTACAGATAAATTGTTTAAATTTTTAATAAAAAGATAACAATATATTTATTACTTTACAAGTATATATTTTTTACACGGCTGTGCTCTTTATCGGAATAAAATTATAAGATGCTGCTGATAACGATTATAAAAGAGCCATTATTTTCACAGCAAACATCAGTGTTATAGCAGCTGCTAATTTACATATAAATTCGCATATGTTTCAGAAAATGTTTAACAAGAATATGCGATGTTTGATTCAATCAAGCTAAAAATAATGTAGATTGAACTGTTTATCGGTGCAATTCCATCTTTCATTTTGTAATTTGTTGCTGTAACATAAATTTGTAAGTACAGTACATAGTATAAGTATCGTACGTGCTTGTTATTGTATTTTAATTATGCCATTTTATGTCACAAATGTTGTCAGAAGATCGTGATTCGATGTGTCGCAATTGTTATAGATTTTCATCGAGTGTGGACATCGATAACGTAATTCAATAATGTTTTCGTTATTGTGTATAAGTATTTTATTGTTCGCATGTGATGCGAAAAGTGCAGCAAATCCTCGTTGTAGGGATGAGAACAATCGAATTGTTGATTGGTAAGTGTTCTCGACATATATTTATATTTTTACAAACTGGTCACAGATTTTAATATTTTTTTAAAAATAAAATTAATTGTCACAAGTCATCATAATTGGCCAAAATAAAAATTTTTTAATTTATGAAGAAATAAGATAATATGAAATATTTAATATATATAAAATCTATATATATATAACTACATACATTTTAATTACATAATTATTTATATATTATTTAATGTCTTTATGATTGAACTTGTATTGTAATTTTATTTATATCTATTTTCAAATGTTTAAATTTCTCAAGAAAATATAGAACGAAATTTATTTCAAGAATAACATAAATAATTGTTGTTCTTCAACAAGTTTATAAATTGATAAATCGTAAATGAGTAACAATTATTATTATTGTCATATATCTATATTAATTAGATCTTATGTTATATTGTTATATTTTTTTTTGCAAACTGTCACCATTAATTATTATGTTTCTGCTCTCATATCTTTTCATGATTTTGTAAATAATTAGTATAATACAATTTTAGGTATGTACTTTATAAATTGCCGAAGACATCACAAAGCAGCAATCCGGTGGTTAGAGAAGGATTAGCGTATTTGTACATGACCAATAATACTGTTGATAAAGGTTGGCAATTATCCAGGAAAAATATCAGCGCGAAGAATTCCATACCGGGGAATACTTTAGCACCTTTGTACAATGATGTAAGAGCATTTAAATCGTAATATAAATGTATATTTGTGTATTTAGATGCGCTTAATATACAAATTATTTGTACCGATCACATCAAGTTTTCCATTATTTGCTGCATACATGAATGATAAAATTTCTTTTTATTAAATCGCTCTTAAATATAAAAAGTAATTTTTAATTTAAATTTGTTATAGTTTGTGTATTTCTGAGAATTTTTCTTCGTTATAAGACTACAAAAGATCAAATCTTCGAAAAAATAATCTTTTTAATTTATATTTTTCTTTAAATTATGTGTATAATATTTATTTACGTGATTATGTGTATTTAGTCACAGGCATCGAAGGCTTTTTGGTTCTTGTACAATGACGATGCGCCTAATAGAGGTGTCAACGGAAAATACGGTCATACTAAAGGCGTTATGATGATTAACAAACAAGAAGGTTTCTGGTTAATACACAGTGTTCCGCAATATCCACCTGTACCTAACAGCGGTAACGATACAAGACGGGTAGGCATAAGAACATTTTGAAGATATTTATAATTCATTTTTAGTATAATTTATTTTTGACAGCTTAGTTATAATTTATTTTTGACAACTATTTTATGAATGATTTCTTCAACTTTATCTTATACAATGATTTCGACATCTTAAGATATCTTTAAATGGATACCTCTTAAACTGTGAAATGTTCTCAGGGACACCGCATGGAATCGTATCCAGGGGCTACATATAATTATCCGTCATCCGGAGAGAATTATGGACAGAGTTTCCTGTGCATTTCCGTGGATAGCGATCAGTTCGATCTGATTGGTCGACAGATGATGTACAATCAGATAATAGTGTATAGAAGGAACATCCCTGCTACATTCATCGCTACGTTTCCGGTGCTCACGAAGGCAGCTAATCAAAAGCGTATTAGACAAGCACCCTTCAATAGTAAGGCATTGTTCAAATCGTCCAACGGTGTTGAATTCACATCCTTTGCCAAGAGTGACAAGTGGCAGAAAGGTAAACTGTGGATAATAAACGCTTCTGGCATTTTCGATGTCAAAAATAATTTAATGAAATAGTTGCAAAATAAAATCTCTACCTTCAGGTATTTTGCTTACTTGGAAAATCAAATAGAAATCATAGAAATTTTATGTCTCTTTATACATACTTTTTATACATATACGTTTGACGATGTTATATTATAAAACAAAATTTTGTCTTTCAAGTAAGAAGTATCCAAATGCAGTTATTAAATTTTAAAAAATTTCTACTTTTAATTTTTAAACTATTTTTTAATTAGCACCTAGAGCTAAAATACATGTCCCTTTTTTTACACACATACTATATATGTATATTTTTCAAAATTGTTAAATGACTAACAGTATTTTTTTGGTTAATTTATAGATTTATACGACGATTTTGTTGCGCCAACGTTACAAACTGATTTATTTACTGAAACATGGTTGAATGGACGAGGTAGATTGCCATCGGATTGCGAACAAGTAAAGTAATATCATATTTTTTAACCATTTAATAAATTTTAATTCAATTTGTAACTAATTTAATTACATTCTCATCGTTTTGTAGTGTATACAATATCATATCTATTTATATCCATTTGGACGAGATTGACATCGATTTTAAGAGTAGTCGTGATCACTCCAAGTGGGCGGTGGCTGTTCAAGGTAAAGGTAATCGTACTTGGATCTGTATTGGTGATATTAACCGAGCGGTAAGTACATGTTTTTTGAGCATTTTCTTAGAAAAAGTTTTACACTAATTATTTTAAAATTATTTACATATATAAAACAAATTAAATAAAATTAATTCAAGAGAGAGCAAAAATTTAATTAAATAGAATAGAATAGAAAGAATAATTAATTAGATAGATTATTTTTTTAAGTAATGAAGTAATGAAATTTCTCACAAATTAAAGTATGACTTGTACAATTTTATTTACGTTTGTAAAATTGATTTTACTTTCTAGGAAAGTTATTATTAATAAAAATATATTGTATTAAATTTAATATTTTATTATTTTCAAGGATACTCAATACGTGCGAGGCGGTGGAACTGTTTGTTTCAATAACAAGAAAGTTTGGGAAAATTATCGGAAAATAGTGAATGATGTAGAACAATGTCCTAAGCACTATAAAACAATTTTAATTTAGAGAATTTATAATTTCGCTAAGAAAATAATAGATATGCTAAAAAATAAGAATGTAATAATTTTATTCTTGTTGCATATAGTTAAGTAGTTAAGTAGTTCAATATAATTTATAAATAAAAAATTGTACATTTTCAAAATTGTACATTTACGATACAATAATACTAGAAATAATGTTATAATCGATGTATTTTATAAAATTACGTATTGTACAAATGTATGTATGTAATACGTGTAATAATCAACAGATTATATCAATATTTTTCTGCAAAGGACTAGATTTATATATTTGGATTATCAGAATTTATGCAACTCTAAAATAAAGATGCATTTTTTGCATTAATTTTTAAAATTCTCTTTCTATTAATAGAGTCTTGATGAGATATATGACCGACGATGAATATCGAGATGATATACCGACGATGAAGAGATGTTGCTACACAATTATCATATTTTACACGAGATGTCTCGTCATTGCTACATGCGGTTAAAATTTACATAAAAAGACATAAAACATATATCGAACATATATCGAAAATAAAAAAAATTAAAATATAAAATGTTATAAAATGTTATTTTCGGAATAATATATAATATAGTTATTTAAAAAAAATAATAAAATATCTTTATTTTTTAGTATTTTTACATGTTTAATTGCTTTACAATGCTTTTAATTCAATCGATAAGTGCATAACATAAAAGTAATAAAAGTTCTAAATAGTTTATTATTATTATTAATTAATAATGAAATAAATAATTAATCTAAAATATTCTATATGCTCTTTATTTAAAAAAACTTGGTTGTTTTAAATCAAAAAAAGAAAAAAATTTATTGCATTCATAGTTCCTTATGTACTGCACATTTTTATCATGCACTAACTATAATCTTGGAGAAAGATGTCCCGTCGGCTTTTCACTGCTTTAAAAAAATAAGGACGAACGACGAGGGATTAGGAGTAGTTCTTAAATTAGATTTTATGAAAAGCCGAGGTAAGTGGAAGGGGAAGTGATGTTTCTTCTCATCCTCGTATCTCTTTCTTTTCGCAGCTGTGCTTATTGTTTAGTCGAGGAAATTGCAGAGTAGTTCAACGGGTTGTTAATGAGAGAGAAAAAGTAGGCGATGAGGAGAAAGGGTGAAATACGATTCGCTCACTAATGAAAACTGTAGGAAATCGAACGAACTTTGGCCGCCGCTACTTATCGTCTGACAACTTCGGGATTTCATCCCCGCGATTGGCAGAAATTTTTCCATCCAAAGTTATCGCACGGACTTTATCCCGCAGCAAGATGGATTTTTACCTCTAAGCGCTTTACGACTTTCTTCGACTTTAGCCGAAAACTCCGCTGTTTCCTCCCTCGATCCCTATTGCATGCCGAGAGTGGTAGTCCAAGTTATAAGATGTATTAGATCGGCGCAGAAAATTTACCGTTTTGCTGTCAAATTTTATTTCAAATAAAGTTATCACTCCGAGTTTCTTTAAATACAGAATGGGAAAGCTTTCTCTCGATGTATCTTTTTTGGCTGAAAGACGATGTAGTAGAGCTAATAATAATCATTCAAGATAAATAAATAAAAAAATCAGTTTAAAAAACGTCAGTTTTAAAAATTAGTTTTAAAAAACATTTGTTCTTTAAAATAATGATGAATAAATCTTTTCACATCACTTTAATGAAAAATCTAAAAATCGCATTTGAGGCTGATTAAAGACTTTCTGTTACTGAAATTATAAAATTATAAAAATATGTTTTGGAAGCTCGTCTATAAATATATTAATTTATCAATTAATTTCTAATCATTTTTAATAACGTTTGTTCACTACCTTTATACCTTTCTCTTCCAATTCACATAGGCGCACGTAATTTGAAAAATACCAGCAATAACGGGCGATAAATCACGACAGTGGCGGCGAATTCTCTTTCTTGGCTCGTCGAAGTCGAGCCGTCTGAATACTGCGACTATGGGCCAACCCCATCCTGAGGAATTGGCCTGAGCGTTCGTTGCCAGCTGCCGGCTGGCAGAACCCCTTTAATCCCCTTATCCTGACGACAGCCAGCTTGTTTTTCCGAGTACCAACTAGGAGCTTCCAGATGCCCTCGGAACTTCCTTTCCGCCCGCTTTCCGCCTCGATAATTCGTTGTTTTGCCGTTCGACTAACACTCAAACTGGAGATGTTTGCTCTTGCTTAAGCAGACATCGATTAGGCTAAACATAAGGGATCGAGTTATGTTATGGTGGGATTACTAATCTTCCGTTTATGTAACCCATATCAATTTAATATTAATTAAGTTAATGGCTTTATAGAAAAATGTTGCTAGAATATCTATAAATTTGGTTAAATTTGAAAATAACATTGTTGAAATAACATTAAAATAATTACACACAACGTTTAAATTGGTTGCTAAAAGATAAAACATTTTTGCAGTATTATCATTATACTTAAACTTAAATTTTATACATTATAATTTTAAACGTTATATACATAATAATTTTAATGGCCCAATAAAATTATTTTCAAATCTGTATCTGGTCAAACTTTTAGATACTTTAGCAAAATCCTTTCTGTGTTTGTTTCAATTATTTGTTAATCATTTTTCAGAAAAATATAACAGACGATAATATTTTATAATATTGAAACCTGAAAACTTTTCCACTAGTTGTTTAATAATTATAATTTTTTGAACACGCAACAAAGCATCGTGGCGGTAGTTAAGAGATAGGCTTGAGTTTGCGGTTAAGGCTTTTGTGCACAAGGGCCTCGAAATATCGCAGCAAGACTACGACGACGATGACGGGGTAACATTGCGACGTTCCAGCGATATTTCAGCATTAAAGGCCGGTCTGCCCCGCATGCTAAAACCCCCGGCTGTGCACCAGCCAAACGTATACGCGTTGGCGTTATATACATAGACCCATCGCATCGTTTCGCCTATGTATGCTCAAGTATTCGTGCAATGCGTGCGCATATCGCAGAATGTTTTACCTGTAATGCGTTACTTTTTGATGATATACAGTATCTTTCACGAATCAGAAAATAATTTTTTTTAATAAAAATATCTAACATATCATCTTTTTTATTATGATTTAGTGAGTGAAAGTAAAGAGGTGAAGCAAGAAAAATAAAATAATTATATTATATTTTCAAATTTCAATGAAATTTAATCGAGTTTTGATTTCAAGTAAAAATATATAATGTTAGAGATAAAAAAATGCGATGAATAATTTTTTTATAGGGATAAAAGTTCTCTATATTGGTCAAAAAAGTAATGAAGTAAATATTCAAACGTATATATCGATATTTCAATTTTAACATATCGGTTTTTCTTAAAATACAGAATCAAAGAGAGCTAAAGTTATACCAATTGATAATACAAAGATATCATAAATGAGATCACATATAAACAATTCAATCGATTAATAGATATCCATTCATAAATTTTTGAATTTCAATGAAGAGAATCTCATCTTCCTTAAAAATTTAGAAAATGTTTCTATTAAAAAATTTGATAAATAAAATTTTACAAAAGCTTTATTCTTCAGAGACGACTTAAAAATTTTGTGTATGTAAACTTGACTTTTATTTTTCAAACATTTAGCTCTCGAAAATGTAATTTGGATATGAAAAAATCGATACGGTAAACTTCTTTACCTTGACACATTGAAAACACGATGCTGAAGGAAAGAATAGGTATAGCAGAGGGAAAAGGATTTGTGTAGAAGGTCAGCCTTGCACGTATATACATATATCCTATAACCACTTGTACGCTTCGTTGGGATAGAAGGGATACGTATCGCGGTGGATAGCCCTGTGCAAAGGTTAATATTGCCTTATATGTATTCATATCGTGTGCTAGAGGGTCCGAGTCCTTTTAGGTGGAAATAAGCTTATGTCGCGTCCCGCGGATGTAAACGGAATATGCGAACTCTCTGATGGAAAATTGCGAACAACTCGACAGATTGGAAAGCTGTGTAAACGAAGGTAACGCGTACGTCGACGCGTACGTCGCAACTCGGATTTGTTTGCCTGTCGATCGCAAAGTGTCATAACCGCTGGTACGACAGTTGATCCGCGATTAATTCTGCAATACTAATATAATTGAACGCGTAAATTATACGCGGTAACATATATGCTATTAATGTTTCGTTAAATGGGAAGAAGATACAAATTTTTTAATGCCCTATCAAATATTCAGTGCGCAATGCTGATTTTTTTTTTAAAGATTCAAAATAAAATATTTCCAATTAAATTTCCGTAAAAATAACAAATCACCGATCATTAAAAAAATATTTTTAGATAGTAATTCGATGGTAAAATCTGATATATATTAAATAACAACGTTACCAATGCTGATAGGATAATTCTCAATTCAGATTTAAAAGTAGATCCGAAAGTGCGCTTTATACGTTCGGCTCAGGTATCGTTAAATTTGTTGAACGATATCGCACACGCTCTGGCATATCCGATATGCACAAACGAAACGGATCGAGCAACACATCGGGAACTACATTGAACGAAGGCACAGACGCGTTTAACTTTCGTCCGACCCCTTTCAAGCGAACGTTTCCAAGCAGATGGATGCTCATTATGTAAATTATATGCAACGCGAATGTATGGGTGACGAAGGGCGAGTTGAAGTTGGGGCGGCGCTGCATTTCCTCCGTGTTTAGGATGGCGAGCCCCCGTGCGTGTGTCTGTGTGCGTGTGTGTGTGTGTGTGTGTGTGTGTGGTGGGGTGGGGGGTGGCGCGCGTGCGTGTGCGGCCCGTTATGACGCATTATAACGTCCCGGCGCCAACTTTAGTACACCCTTATACGTATTCATACCGCACAACGTCGACGAATGTCCGGGAACGTCCGGGAAACATCTCTCTTCGTCCGTGCTCCGCGTCGGCGGGTTACGTTTGCGGACGGGATAAAATGAGCTGCCAAACTTACGTCTCACACCCATTTTCGCGCAAACCTCGTTTTACCGATACGAATAAATGAGCTGGTGTGGAATTCGTACCGTTCCAGGTCTTGTCCTATGCGACCATAACGCGTCGAGGAAACGATGATAACCGAGAATGATGAAAGCCCTCTTCTACAAGGCACTCTTCTGAAATTAAGATTAAATAAATGATATTTAAAGTGTGACAGAATGCTTTTTACATATTTAATATTTTGCAGGATAATTCCACATTTTCCTTTACTAGAAAAATATGAAAAATTAATGAAAGATTACGATTTTGTCATCTATTGTGTTTATCAAAGCTTAAAGTCCGCTAGAGAACCTTAATTTTTAAATGTCATAGAGGCTTTGATCAATATGTTGAAAAAGCAATCATTCGTTATGGATACTAATCGTGA